TGGGTCAAATGGTATCTCTATTTGCAATTTTTGAGAAAGCGCCACACCACCTTCCACAATGGTTGCACCATCTTACATTCCCACCAACAGTGAATAAGAGTTCCAGGTTCTCCACATCCTCGCCAGCATTTGTTGCTTGCTGTTCTGTTAAATTCTGCTGTTCCTACTGGGGTGAGATGATATCTCATAGTTGTTTTGATAGAAACATACATTTAAAATAGGAAAAAATTCATCATTGAAAAGAATAACCTGAGTTGTGTGTTCTCTTGCAAAATATCCAAGTCATACAACAAACGTAAGTGTAACTTTAAATTGTTTAGTGTTATCAGAAGCAAAGATGTCCCTTTGAGTACTGAAGTGATTCTGAATAAACTAGGATATTTTCAATTGCCTTATATGCATGCAAAAGCTGAACAATGAATAAAGAAAAACAAAGCAGAATTGATGTGTTTGGGGAATATTGATTATGGGCTGCCAGAAGGAACAAGTCTGTCTGGGAGGAAGCACGCTCAAAATGCTCCCTAGACATGAGATTGCTGAGACTTTGTCTCAAATTACTTGGATATGTTATTAGAAAGGACCAGGACCTGAAGAAGAGTTGATTGCATACATTTTATTCAACTTTAAGAGTTATTTGCAAATCTGTATAAAATTACTTTCTTATTCTTGTTGTTACTGTCAAGTCAGAACTGACCAATAGCTGAACTTTCAATGGGTTTTCAGAGGCAGTTAATCACACAGGAAGAGAAGCCCATCTTTTTCCCACAGAGAAGCTGGTGGATTTGAACTGTTTTATATCTCACATACTCTGGGCACATGGGCAGAAGAGACCAGTCCTTGGAGAAGGACATCATGCTTGGAAGGATGGAGGGACAATGCAGGAGAGGAAGACCCTAGATGAGATGGACTGACACAGTATCTGGGGCAATGAGGGTTGGTGTGTTGGAATTAGTTAAACTGGTTCAGAACTGGGCAGATATTAGAGCTGCTGTACAAAGGGTTGCTAGGGATCGCAGGTGACTAGACGGTACATAACAACCACCACCACCTTTAGATTGCCAGCACAACTCCTTCGCACTAGGCGCTCTAGTGGCTTAGTGGTAAGGAACTGTTTTGCCAACACAAGGGTATGCAGTTCAAATCTACCAGGAGTTCCATGAGAGAAGTATGGGCAACCTCCTTCTGTGTAATTCACTGCCTCTGAAAACTTACAGGAGAAAGATGGGCAATCTCTTCCTATGTAACTTATAGCCTCTGAAAGTCCACTGGAGGGTCAGCTATGAGTTGGTTCTGATTCAATGGTATATAACACCACCACCACCACCACCACCACCACCACCCCCCCACACACACACCACACAAAGTCTCGTGGTTTAATGGTAAGGGGTTGAGCTGACAATCCAAAGGTAGGCAGTTCAAATCCATCGGGTGCTTCCATGGGAAAAAGATGGGCAATTTCCTTTCACATGACTTACAAGGCATAAACTAGAGAGAGAAATCACACTTGAAGAGCTCCAGTTCAGCATTCTTTCTTTAAGCTCATGTTACCTTTCTCAAGTAGGTTGATCTTTCTTCTGAGTCCTTTTGTCTATATAACAGTGATCAAACAGTATTTTGAAGTTTATTTCTTTCTTCTTCCTTCATTTAAAATGTTATTACTACTAAATATATAAATTTCTGGACATAAATGCTTTCATACATTTTCTTATTTTAGGTATATTTAATGTCATGTATAATTCAGTTACTTACCATTATCAGTGACATAATACTCATAAATAGTTTGCGCTGTGTCTTGAGGTATTTCAGGTAAGGTTAACATGCTTTGGTGGTCCCGTAAAAAGACTTCAAGCTTCTCTCTGCTGTCCAATTCTAAAAGAGCCCCTAAACTCCACATGAGGCCAAATACAAACAATTTATGAAGATGTTCATCACATGAAACACCACCTTCTTCTTTGGATGGTACTAAGCCTTCCAGAAGAGTGAGAGACTGGGAAAAAAAATGTAATAATAACTTAAAAAATTTAGAAAAGAAACAAATCTATTTCAAAATACTGTGTGGTCACTGTTTTTACAGTCAACAATATTAGGATAAATTTTATCTACTTCAAAAAGGTCACATGAGCTTGAAATATAAATGCTGAACTGGAGCTCAGAAAGTGTGGTTTCCATCTCTAGTTATTGCCACTAACTTCTGAGCCTCAATTTCTTTATCTGTAAAGTGAAAAGCCTAGAGTAGGTGTTTTCTTGGGTAGATACAGTTTCTAAAGTTCAGTGAATAAAAATGGTACGGATTAAAGATTATAGTTCTATTGCAAAATTTTTCAGGAGGCAGTGTATTATGGACTGCGTGCCAGGTATCTGTTTTTGTAAATAAAGCTCTATTGCAATACAACCACACTCATTAACTCAAGTTTTGTCTCTGGCTACTGTCAAGTTACCAAAGCAGAGCTGAGAGACCGTAACACAGAGGTGTGCAAATCCATACCTTTGATGGAAGTATGCAACCCCTATGTAGCATAAGAAAGAAATGTACACTACAGGAAGATATTCTCAGTCTTGGGAAACAAAGTCAATGAGAAACAGAAATGTTCACTTCTATTATGTCTTTTACAATTCTTGAGGATGTAGCTCTTTACATGTTAGACTGCTAATGGAATGGTTAGTGGTTCAAATATACTATCTGCTCTGAGAGAGAAAAATGAAGCACTCTTCTTCTATAAAGACTTACTGTCTCAAACATCCAATGGAGGGTTGGTGTGAGTTGGAATTAACTCAAGAACAGTTGATTTGGCCTTGGTTTGGTTATAAAGGGCTAAAATTCTCAACTGCTAACCTAAAGGTCAATAGTACAACCTCACCAGAGAAAGACATGGCAGTTTGCTTCCATAAAGGTTGTTTCCAGCCTCAGAAACCCTCTAGGATGTTCTCCTCTGTCCTACAGAGTTGTCATGGATTGGAATTAAGCTGACCGCAGTGGATTTCTGGATTACATCTAAAGTAAATACTGAATGTTGACTTATATCTCATGTAATGTTTCTAATCTTCCTTACTGACATCTCCTACACTAAAACAAAATCAAAGCACTGAAATGGTAACGAGCTACCATGTATAGGCCAGAAGTAAGGGAGCTTTTCAACAACTACAATTAGTTATGTGGTTTCTAAAGACCAGTTGCTCTTGTTAAACATCCTCTGATCAAGGACAATTCATGGTGATGCAGTGAATCACAGTTCTGAAACCTGTCCTCTCCTGTGCCATCCTCATCATCTGGCACACTGTAGCCCATTGCCACAGACACTGCATCAATCCTTGTTGGGGATCTTCTTCTCCTTCAATGGTCCTCCACCTTTCCCAGTATCATATACCTTCCCAAGGAATTGCCTCTCCTAACTTGTCCAAAATATGTGAAAAGAAATTTTGCCATTTTTACCTCTAAGAAACATTTTAGTTGGACTTTCTCCAAGATATAGTTTTTTGTACTTTTGGCAGTCTATGGGCTGTTCAGTACTCTTCTCCAACACCAAAACTAAAAGGATCAATTCTTTTATCATCCTTTTTCACTTCCAGCTCTGTTACACAGCATGTGACTGGAAAGACTGTGGCTTGAATTAGGTACACTTTAGCCTTTAAACAGACATTATTGCTCCTCAGGACTTATTAAAAAATCCCAGATAGCAGACTTTCTCAATGCTAATCTTTCTTCTAATCTCCTGACTGATAGTACCAAGTTGACTGTGGATACTTGCAGCAAGATGAAATCATTGGCAATTTCAATCTTTTCTCCATCTATCATAATGTTGCCTATTGGTCCAGCAGTGAGGACTTTTGTTTTCTTGATGTTGAGAAGTAATCCATATTGAAGGCTGTGGTTTGATCCTCTGCCTCAGGTCCCCCTTTGTTTCTGCAAGTGAGCTTATGTCATCTGCATAATGCAGGTAAGAAGGAAGGAATGATGCAATGTACTTTTCAGAAAACTGTTAACGTTTTTCCTCTTATTTGATCTATACTCCATTTGCAAAGTCAAAAGGTGTCATGCAAGTTTTCCTGACTGCCAAAAAGCTCCTTTTTTTTTTAAACTTTTCTATAAAAACACCAGGGTTTCTTAAGTATTTACTCTCACTGTTGGATCTATGCCTGATTACTAGGCAATGGGAAACACAGTTGATTCCTTTCCCCTGACAGCGCTCCTACACAGTGAAGATAGAAAAGTGATGATAGTAAGAGCTCTAATGGGGTCTTTATCCACTGCTGTCAAATTGATTCTGCCTCCTGGTGGTCCTTAACGTCTCTAAGACTGTCAAACTGTACAGGAGCCAACCACCTCATCTTTTCGCTTGGGGTGGCTGGTGCATTTGAACAACTGATCATTCAACTAATAGCCCAATACCTAACACACTAGATCACCAGAGCTACTGGATGAGATGTTTAATAGGAATCAAACCCCTTCAAAACCTTCACAACCATGACACCAAGACATTACTATTTTAGAAGCCTACAAACAACAAATGAGTATTAGAAAAAAAATAATCTTACTTGCATAATATAATTACACTCTAGAAGCTGCATTTTTGGTTGGAGGTTTAGTTTCATAAATGTATATGCATCTTCAAACACCTTATCATACAAATTTAGGAGTACAGAAGCTTCTTGTGCGGTACGCTTCTTCAACCATGCCTGCAGCAAAGAATAAGAATCTGTACTGGTTAAGAAAGTGAGACATGGAAGGACTCTGCATGCTTCCGTTCAACATGCACTCCTACCTGCAGTATCGGCCTCCAGTTGAGAGCAGAGCTGCTGATGTAGACCATGCCCATCCTCGAAACCGTAGCTGGGGAGGCATTCTCAATATTGTGGACTTCAAACAGAAGCTTACAGTTGGGGGCCATCGGGATGCGATCACCATTAGCTAAGGTGAGCGTTTTATTGTCATCCAGCACGGAATTTAAGTTCTCGATCCAAATGGCATCTACAGGGCCATCTAAAACGAGGAAAATGTTTTCACCTGCAAATCATCAGAACAAGAAGTCACTCTCTGAAAAGGAAGTCACTAAGTAAAATATTGCTACTAATAACCTGGAAACTTTATGAGCTTTGAGAAGTGATACTTATAGAAAGACTTCAGGTCTATTGTTCATAGGATTGCTATGAGTCATGTTCGACTCGATAGCAATCAACAACAACAATAACCTGGAGGGGAAGAAAAGGTCACCAAGGAGGGCTTTTGGATACCTTTTTTAACCTTTAATGTTTTTCTCCACAGAGTAGAAAAAATTCCATCTGTCCAGTCATTGGTGGCAGTGTCTAGTCGGCCAAACATTTGTGGTGCAGTAATGGCCTTTGGATTCATTCGCATCTCTCGGTGAGGCCTCCCACACTCTGTCAGCGCCTTCATCAGAATGGTTATAACAGTCGTCTTCCCAGAACCACTGGGCCCAAGAGTCATGAGGCCGTGACGTACTAAAGATGTCTCATATAACTAGGTGATCAGAACAATACATTGAAAAATGAAAATGAAGAGGATGCTGAAATTTAGAAAGCATTAAACAAGTGGATCAGCTAGGCGTTCTGAAATAACCCTTGCACTTGGACACACACCTTTGTTGCATCATTACTCACAATAGCCCAAAGGTGAAAACTATCCAAGGGTCCATCAGCAGATGCATGAATGTACAAAGGGTGCTATATATGTGCAGTGAAAAATTATCTAGCCATAAAGAGAAATAAAATCCAGGCACATGCCGGAACACAGATGAACTTTGTTGATGCCAAATTAAGTTAATCAGGCACAAAAGGGCAAAAAGCCCATGATTCTGTTTATATGAAACGCCTACAACTAACAAATGCACAGAGACAAAAGTTATTATTAGTGATTATCAGGGGCTGGAGATAGGAAGTAATATGTAGCTATTGCTGAAGGGGCATTCAATTTCTCTTCAAAGTGATGAAAACTTTTGAAAATTTGAGGTATATGGTGTCATGGCTGTACAACATGTTGAAAATAACAGGAGTAGGCAGGAGTGGCATCCACTTCCTAAATAACATGCCTCTGGAAACTCTGTGAACTTTGATAAAGGTTGATAGTTACAGAAAGACTTCAGGCCTTTTTTTATAGGGTCGCTATGATTCGTGCTTGACTCAATGGCAATCAACAACAACAACTGAATTGTACATTTGAGATGGAAAAAAAATTGTTATATATGTCCTTTACTCCAATAAAATTCTTCCAACTAAACAGTCAACATTATGAATAGATGAGAAAATAAAAAATAAATGTGGCTTTAAGAGATGTGTACAGAAATTCACATTAAAGTTGACAAAAACAAAAACACAGGAACGAAAATGTGACTTGAGTCTATCCCACCTAAATTAAAAACCTCAAGAATTTTTTTTAAAAAGAATAGATTTGAGGCATTGAACACTACTGACCAAAGATTTATTAAAAAAACAATTGATTGATAAACACTAATGATTGATTTAAAAAAACCTGGAGGATAGTGTAATGACAGTGTGAAGCATGAACTATATTCGGATAGAATTAATTTACAATATAGTTTTTGTTTCTCAAATATTAATTCTTGAGATTTTGGCTTGTTGATTTATAACCAGCAGTTTTCCCATGCATAAATTTTCTTTGGCTACAACGTGATCATACCGCCCCCTAGTGGTGGTAACAACACCCATCATCAAAGTTGAGATCCAAGAAAATGGTAAAATAATGATTAGTGTGTAGTTCATTTGTTCAGGGAGTATTCGCAGAGGTACTGACCAGAAAGTGTAGAAAGAGGAAAAGGACTTGGAAGAAGTTGTTCTTTTTGTGAAAATCCCTCTGGTATGTAAGTTACTTCTCAATAATTCCTTGTAATGGCCACACAGAACTTACAATGCTATTGTTAGGTGCCATCAAAGTGACTAAGACTTAAAGTGACTCTTTGAACAAGAGATATAAACCTTGCCCTGATTTGCGCCATTCTAATTATCTCTGATTTACTCAATCCCGCTGTTACAGCCACTAGATAAATCTATCTTGAGTCTTCTCTTTCTCTGACCCCACTGCCCCAAGCCCCCTTCCCCCCTTTTCCAGCATGACGCCTTTTTCCAAGAACCGATCATATGACCAAAATATGTGTGGCGAAGTTTCACCATTCTTGACTCTAAGAAGAACATGGTTGCACTTTTCCCAAGATTGACTTGTTCTTCTGGCAGCACAGGGGATATTCAGCACTCTTCTCCAACATCATGATTCAAAGGTATTGATTGATTCATCTGTCTTCTATTCACTGTCCAACTTTCACACGCATGTGAAGAAATTTAAAAGATCATGGCTTGGATCAGGCATATCTTATTATTATAAATTTATACTGATATAAATTAGCACTTCAGAGAGGTCTTTGACAGCAGATTTCCCCAATATAACATTATATTTTGATTTCCTGAGTGCTGTTACCATGTGTGTTGATTGTGGAACCAAGTGAGATGAAATGGTTGGCAGTTTAGAGCTTTCTCCAACTCTCAGGATATTACCTATTGGTCCAGTGATAAGAACTTTTGTTTTCTTGAGGCTGAGATGTAATCCACATTGAAGATTTTAGTCTTTGATATTATGCAGCAAATGTTTCAAGTTCTCTTCACTTTCAGCAAGCAAGGTTGTATCATATGCATAACACAGGTTATTGATAAATCATCCTCCAATCCTAATGCACATCCTTCTACCTAGAGTCTACTCAAAATATTTGCTAGGCATACAGATGGAATAGGTGCAGGGAAAGGATACAATTCATATCTGTATACTAAGGATACCTGATGATACTAATGCCCATCATTATTTTAAACTATGCAGTGTTTCCTTGTTATTTTCAGACAAGAGCTTGTTGATTTAGATTTTGTATAAAAAAATTTAAGTGTTCTGGGATATTTCATTCTTCTAAATGTTACCCATAATCTGTTATGATCCACACAGTTAAATGCTTTTGCATAGTCAATAAAACACAAATAAACATCCTTCATGCATCCTCTACTTTTCACCAAGCTTCCTGTTAATGCACTGTTCTACCCATTTTTTAAATAATTGTCAGCAATTTTACTTAAATATGATATTAACATTGTTCAACTATTTCCACATTATGTTGGAATGGGAACCTTTTGGGGGGAAAGGAACAATTAGCAATATCTTTCAGTCATTTGGCTAAGTAGCTCTCTCCCAAATTTCTTACCATCATCAGATAGCACATTCAGGGTTATATCTATTTGTTGAATTGGAATTGCAGCAATTTCTGGGGTCTTATTTTTTTTTGGCAAAGCCTTCAATGCAGCTTGAACTCCTGTCTTACCACTGGTGCTTTATCATACACTGTTCCTGAAATGTTTTAGTGCTGACCAATTCTTTTTGGTAGTATGATTATATTCTTTCCATCTTCATTTGATGCTCCCTAGATCGTTCAAGATTTTTCCCATAACCTTCTTCAGTACTGCAACACAAGGCCTAGATTTCTTTTTCTGTTCTTTCAGCTTGAGAAATGCTGAGCACGTTCTTTCCTGTTGATTTTCTAATACCAGCTCTTTGTACTGTTCTTTATACTATTTCACTTGATCTTTTCAAGGTGTCCTTTACATTTCTTCCCTGTTTTGACCTCTCTTAAGTTCTAGTGCAGTTTTCAGAGTCACTTCCGACATCCATTGTGGCCTTTTCTTTCTGCCCTGTCTTTGCAACAATCTTTTGCTTTCTTCATGGATATCCTTGGTGTCATCTACAACTCATGTGGTCTTAAGTCATTAGTGTTCAATGCATCAAACCTATACTGCACAATTTTGCATGTGTGTAGGTGGGTGAAGGAAATGGAATGATCCAGCAGGGACCTGAAATGACAGGGTAATGACGGGCAAGGTCCATTGGAGATTAATTTTATAAAACATAATGCATGGGAATAATTGTATGAAACACAATGTGAATGAAGAATAGTGCAAAACACAATATATATTAACTTTGTAAGCAAATCAATATAAAAGAAAATAAAACAAAACCTGTACTTGAGGTGTTTTTTTTTAATTCAGGTGGGATAGACTCAAGGTCACATTTTGGCTCTTGTGTTTCCATTTTCTTCAGCTTCAATTCACAAACAACACTGAGTGATTACAGGGTTTATAAGGAAAGCAGCAGGTTACAATTCAGGATCAGAATCAGAAAGAATACAAGCAAAGTCTCCTTTCCACTTAAGGTAGTTCTTTCAGGCCCTCTCAGTCACAGAGAGCTCCTCTCAGTCCACGAGAAAAATCTATTCTTGGTCTCCTTGGACCAAGTTCTTCTCAGCCTCCTAAAAACAAACTTCTCTCTTGACCTTTGACTCTTGGCCTGGGTTCTGTGCTCTTGGTCTCTGTTCCCGCTTGGGCAAGTATTAAAAGCCCTTTTAGTCTACTAATAAGTGCCAACAGGCACTCAGTGATTGATTGAACAGAACCTTTGAATATATTTTAAATGGAAAAAATATGGTGTGTGTGTATGTGTGTGTGTGTGTGTGTGTGTGTGTGTGTGTGTGTGTGTATGACTCATTAACTGGGCTCATTCCAATTTTAGGGCCTCCAAAGAGTCCTGTTAAAAAATGAGAAAACGTAATTGAAACTATCATGCCTTAGGCCAGGCTCTTGAGAGCAGATTTTGCCCATTGTAACATATTTCTGATTTCTTTACTTCTGATTCCTTGAGTATTGACTGTGGATTCAAGTAAAATGAAATAACTGACAATTTCAATCTTTGCTCCATTTGTCATGATGTGGCCAGTTGTGAGGATTACTGAAGACTGTTAAGTACTTCAAGATTTTTTCACTTTCCACAAGCAAAGGTTGATTACCTGTATAAAGCAGATTGTTGGTAAGTCTTTCTCCAATCCTGATGCCACATTCTCCTTCATATAGTTCCGTTTCTTGAATTATTTGCTTAGCCTACCTATTCAATGGAAGTTCTGGTGGCTTACAAGGGGAGCTCTGGTGGCCTAGTGGTAAGGAGCTGCAACTACAATCCCAGAGGCTCACAGTTCGAATCCACCAGATGCTCTGCCGGGGAAGGAGGAACAATCTCCTCCTGTACCTGTCAGATCTGATTTGACGGTACACGCACACAAAAATAATTTTTAAAAATTTAAAAAATTAAAAAAAGTTACACTACCAACCCAAAGGCACATGCGTCAAATTTACCAGCTTTTCCAAGGAAGAAAAATGGGCAGAAAAATTCCTCCTGTGTGATTTATAGACTCTGAAAACCCAAAGGACATACTATAACAACAACCACCACCAATTGACAGGTATGGCCAAAGGATACAATGCTGACATATAACTTTCTTGATTTTAAATCATGCAGTATCTCCCCTTATCCTTTTTAAAGGGCTGTTTTCTGTCTGGATAAAAGTTCTGCAGGAACACAATTAAGTGTCTGGAAATTCTCATTCTTCTCAAAGTTATCCATACTTTATTATGATCCACCCAGTCAAATGCCTTTCTATATCAGTAAAACATAAGTAAACCTTTTTCTGGTCGTTTCTACCTTCACCTAAGTTTCATCAAATGTCAGTTATAATATCCCCTTATTCCATGATCTCTTTCCCTGACAGAGATCTATATAGAACTTATATATAAAACTGTGTGTGTGTGTGTGTGTGTGTGTGTGTGTGTGTGTGTGCGCGCGCACGCGCGCGCATGCAGACAGATAGATAAACTTTATACAGGTCTATATAGACTTTCCCTGTGTATTTGTTGAAATGAAACCAAATCGTCAAGTTGACTTTGATTTATAGCAATCCTACGAACGGATCTGAACCTTGGCCTGTTCTGCACCATCCTGACAATCTACGCTCTATTGTTACAGTCAGTGTGGCAATTCATCTCCTTGAGTCTTTCTTTCACTGATCCTCCTCTACCTTTTCCAACATAATGTCTTTTTTCCTAGGACTGCCTGGCCTCTCCTGTCAAAAGTAAGTGAGACAAAGCTTCTCTAAGGAGAACTCTGGTTGTACTTCCTCTAAGACACGTCTGTTTATTCTTTTGGCAGTCATGGAATATTCAATAAACTTTGCCAGCACCACAATTCAAAGTCACTGATTTAAATGCACAGAAAGCAGTTGAAAATACCATTGATTGGATCAGGTACATCTTAATTGTTAAACATCTTAATTGTTAAACAGATAACCTTTCTTTTTAGCACTTTAAAGAAGTACTTGACAGGAAATTTTCCCAATGCAACACATCTCCTGATTTCTTGACTGATACTACAATGGTGTTGATTATAGACTCAAGTAAAATGAAGTCATTAACAACTTCAATCTTTTCTCCATCTACTATGCTGGTGCCTATTGGTCCAGCGGGGAGAACATTTGCTTTCTTCATGTTGAAATGCAATCTATATTGAAGGCTTGTTGTCTTTGACATATGTGCATAGATCTATAGTGTTGTTGGTTACCATCAAGTCTAGAATGAGTTATAGTGACCCTATGAACAACAGATATGAAGCCTATCCTATCTGGTACCATCCCCACCATCTCTGATACCCCTGAGTTCATTGCTGTAGTTGCTGTGTCGATTCATCTTGATGGGGATCTTCCTCTCTTTTGCTAATCCTCTACCTTTCAAAGCATCATATCTTTTCCCAAGGAATAGCCTCTCATAGTAAATTCTCATAGTAAAAGTATGAGAGACAAAGCTTTGCCATCCTTGTCTCTAATGAACACATAACTGTTCACTCTTTTGACAGTCCATGGGATATTCAGAACTCTTCTACAACTCACAGCTCAAAGGCATACATTCTTCTTCTGCCATCCTCATTCATTATTACACTGATGATAAAAGTGTCTTTACCTGCACAAGTTTGAGATTCCAGGGTGGATGATTAATCAAACCTTCTTCTGAAACCTGGTTGGCTACTGCGGCTTGCAGCTGTGCATAACTATTACTATCTAGCTGTAATCCTGGAAACAGGTCATTGATTAAGCTGAGGAACAGGGGTTCATCTTCATCAACCTAAAATGGCACAGAATGAAATAAACTCACTCATCTAGTCAGCACATATTAACTAGTTAGTATCCATACATAAATTCCGGCCAGATAAGTATACACCAATCTCCTGAACAGGGAGCTCTGGTGGCCTAATTTTAAGAAGCTGTGCTGACATCCCAAAGGCAAGTGGTTCAAATCTACTAGCTGCTCCACAGGATAAGGATGCACAATCTCCTCCTACGGAATTTATTACCTCTGAAAACCCACTGGGTTCAGCTACAAGTCTATTCCAACTCAACAGCACACAACAGCAACAACTCTTCAAAACAGACTTGAGCCATCTAGAACTTTCTCCTGGACACTATCACTGAATGTAGAACATTGTAGTCAAAGTTTCTTTACATACAAAATGTCCTACAATGTAGCCTCAATCTATTGCTTCAAGGTTTGACTCCAGTGCTTTATCATATGAATACTCTGCTTCTCCCAAACAGGAATATTCACTGTGTCAGAATAAAATACTAATTTCTTGTTAGAAGTAGGAAAATACCTATAACCATGAACAACTGCTTCTAACCATGTTGAGTGCTCCATTATAGATATCTATATTCTGCTTTCTTATAAGCGGCAAATTGGACTAAACAATGCCATTAATACATAAATGACCCCATTTCAAACAATTTCTTTCTCACTATCCTTCAGGACTCCTCTGACATTGTTCTCAGGTGTTGTCAATTCTATATAACTCATAGTGATCCTATCCACAAAAGATCAGATCTTTGTTCATATTTTCTTGAATTCTGACTAGGAGGTTTAAGAATACTATTATCTATGGGGAAACACTGGGGTGAATGGGAAAGAACAGAGTATTTAGTACTAGAAAATCTTGGAGAATTTTGTCCATTTCCCAACTGACTAAGGGAGTGTATTCATTCTTCAGTCTCTTTGACTCTAAGTTTCCTCACAAGCAAAGTAGTCAGGCCTGTACTGGTCATTTATATCCCACAGAGTTGCTGTGAGGGGTTTACAGAAGACATGAATCATAAAGCTTTGAAATAGCAGTGAACTTCACAGATGTAGTTATATTTTTAAACTGAAGAACAATTTCTTCTTCAGTCTTGAACACTAAGGTATTGATACCGTATGCAGTGTACAGAACCACATGAACTTGTCCATCAGTAATTTCAAAACAATCTAAGGTATAATTGTGCAAGCATGAAAGAAAAAAAAAACACTATTATTATTTCCAAGGCAAACTTTTAATACATTTTAGAAAAATGGTAATGGTTTTGGTATTTTGAGAAAAACACATCTGTGACAAGTTGATCAGATGCTAAAATACACAAAGCTCACCTAGTACTCTGTAAGTCAAGATTTTCAAAACAAGTATCTCTGTTACATTCATTATGTATACCAGTTGGTGGCACAATGGTTAAACTCTCTGCTGCTAACCAAAAGGTTGGTGGTCCAAGCTTACCCAGTGCCTTCACAGGTACTTCTATTCTATCACATGGGACTATTAGGACTCTAAAATTAATTGAAGACACCTGTCTAACAACAACATGAAGAGGTCAAGGACTGAACTAAAATTTTGAAGCTGAAGTTCACTGATGAAGTCCATTTTCTGCACACCACTAAAAGGATGCACCTTCAGTTCAAATTGCCTCAACTATCATACAGAGTCATGGAAATTTTGCCTTCTTGCTGAAAGCACAGGGTATGGAAGATTAAATGAATCAATACATGACAAAACTGCATACTGCTCAGAACACTCATCAAACTTCCAAGGATCAGTCCTCACAGGTCAACCTGAGCCAATCCCCCCCTTGTCAGCTGGGAGAAAGAACCAACCCAAACCCAGAACACTGCCATCATTTTAGTTCTGACTCAGAACAACTCTCATAAAAACTCACTGCAATCCGGTCAGAACCACATCATAGAAGACCCTCAACTGGGGTTTTGAAGGCTGTAAATTACAAGGGAGGTGAGCACGCAACTTTCTCCTGCAGAGCTGGCTAGTGGAGAGGAACCAACAGAGAGTGTGGCCTTCGAGTTAGCACAAAGACCTGGGGACTAGGATGCCAGAGCTCACAGCAATCCCAGAGGATGGGGGGTGGGAGAAAGCCATCCCCACAGGGTTTCCAAGCTTGTCATTTCTTTTAAATCAAAACCATCAATTTTCTTTGAATGATTTTTATCAGGTGGTGGTTACCTGACAAAACTCCCTTGGTCTCTTGGGTCTTAAAACGAGTTAGTCCCATATGCATCCTTCTTTATGGTTTTTTTAAAAAAAAATATTTTCTGTTTACACTGTGTTCTACACAACCCTTCCTTCACGTTGTGCTTCATGCAATCATTAATATACACTGCATTTCATATAATCTAATCACTATTGATCTATGCTTGTTATCAATCACCTCATCTCTTGAGTCCCCACTGAATCTTTCCTATTTCTTCAAACCCCCATCCAGGCACTGAACTCTGCTATGCCAGCATTCTCCATCCTTCCCCTTTTTCTGCTCTACTCCTCTCCTCCCCTATGGGCTTTCACACCCATCTAAATAGTTATCCTTCCATTTTTCACAAAGGTTTTACAGAAGCAGATTGTCTCATCTTTTCCTCACAGAGATCCTGGCAAGTTTGAACTTTTTGCTTGTTGTTGTTGTTGTTGTTATGTGCTATCATGTTACCTGTGACCCATAGCAACCCTATGTACAGTTGCTCTGAACCTTCCCTGTCCTGAGCTAGTCTCACTAACTCGGAGACACACCAATTCCCATTGCCTCAGGTACTGAATCAATCCATCTCATCTGGGGTCTTCCTCTCCTTCCAAGCATGATGTCTTTCTCCAAGGACCGGTCTCTCCTGGCCACGTGCCCTTAGCAGTCAATTACTTAAGCAAGGATTTCATTAGTAGAGAGAAATCAGGCTAAAATTTTGAGAGAAAAGTAAATTCAGAGAAAGGTACCAGTTTAGAAAGGTTCATATCTCTTAGTCCTCTCATGACAGTGCTTAATTCACTGTCTTCTGGTCTGGCTCTCTTTTGAGCTCCAAGTGTCCTCAAGACAGACAGAATATTTCTCAATCCAAAGTCATAATGAACCTAAAAAAAGGACAAAGAGGGAAAAGCCATTATTTAAATAAAATACTCTAAATGCATACCCACTATATACATGGAAGTGGGTATTTTAAAACTTAGATAGTAGAGTGGCTGGATTGCTGCAAAGCTGTATTACTTTATTTCTCCTCCTTTTTTTCTTGGAAAATATCCATTTGGTTGAGAAGACTAAGTAATAGGCTTTTCAACGGCTTATTTTTCAAAGATACATTGGCAAGCCTTCCTTCTAAGGTGCCTCTGAGTGGACTTGAACCTCCCACTTTTCACTTAACAGATGAGCATATTAATCCTTTACATATCTATTGAACTACTTAAATGGGAACAAACTACTAATTTAATGTTTATTTTTCTGGTTTTTAATTACAGTTTATAAAATTTCAGGTAATCTGGTTTTTCTGTGATGCTGAACCTTGTGCCATTAGGGGGTGAAATGCCATAAAGGCTGCCCACGGTGGACAGTGTTTGGTGGAGCTCCCAGTTTAAGACAGGTTTGGAAGCAAGAGTGGCATTCACTTCCTAAACCTCTGGAAACTTTATGAACTTGGAGAAACAACAATAGTTATAGAAAGGCTTTGGGTCTTTTGTTCAGAGTCACTATGAGTATTGATCAACTCGACAGCAATCAACAACAAATGTCAAAAACGATGGAGATGGCATGAAAGGTTCACATAACCTTACTTTGAACTTCTTCTGGCTCTAAGACTATTTAAAAAGAAAATAGAGGGTTTTTAAATGCATAACAATAGACCATAAGAGCTTTTTTTAATTCCTAGACTAACATTTCTCAAGATAAAGCTATAAAACAATAACTTAAAAAAGAAAACCTTTTATAATGAGGAGGGGAAAGTTACCTGTTTAGTAAGTTGTTCTTCACAGAGTTTATAAAGAACATAAAACTTCTGAGCTAAGATTACATTTTCAAGAAAACCACAGCTTGCAAGTTTAACTCGCATGATGATCTAAAAATTAATACAGTAATATGTCAATAATTTTAGTGGAAAACAGGTAAGTAATACATATTTTATTATACTTTAAATCCTGGTACTTACTTGTCTATCAGGAACCATCATAGCAACAGTTCTAAACTGAATCTTTAAGTTTTCTGGCAGTTCTTGACGCCCAGCATATCCAGGGTTCTAAAAGTTAAAATGTATTTGATTTTCAATTGTTGGTATAATTTCATTAATGCAAATACATTGTGAATTCCTAGTTGATACCAAGTGGATATTGAAAAATATTAGATTCCTAAAATGTTCTCCTTTCTAAAAAATGTATATTGAATAATATTTTGTAACATAAGGTTACTCCTCATCATATATTTACATTTTAATTATACTATCAAAGTCATACAACTGTACTCTCTTTCACACACAAACACACACACATGCTTTGTATAGGAAAAACTCATCATATGTGCATGTACTGGTTTAAAAAACAAGGGGAAATGAATAAATACCTAATTATAGTCTAAACTATGTAACTGAAAGAGGGAGGTGGAAATCAGGGCTTTATATCTATTACTTGGTGTAGGTAATTTTTATCTTATTACATCAATTATTTCTTGCAGTCATTGTTACAGAATTATTTAGCTGATAAAGCACCTTTTTTATTAAAAGCTAAGAGGATGAGGGAAAATTAAAAAAGAATACACAGAAAAAAATGGGGGGAAAGTAAAAGAGGAAGTATAAGGGAAACTAAGGCCTTACAAATTCCAAGAGTTTAGGCTAGGTCAGTTCCAAAAGACTCAAAGGAAAGATCAACAGTTCAAAGGCAAACAAATGCACATGAAGACATTTTCAACTCCTTCACATTAACTGAACACTTTCATCAGACCAGGATCCTTCCGGGAATGTACAGATTGCTGGCTACCTCTCAGTACCTCTCCTTTCTAGTCACAGAACCCCAATTGCAAGTGATATCCATGAAAGCCAGATCACAATGGAACACACTTATTTTCCCAGGCCTTTTAAGTTTTTATCTTTCACAGGTAAAAGTCTTACCATTTTTCTATCTCTATATTAGTGAAAAGCATTTGTATTTTCCTACTATGCCAGGAATCCCATTTTACATGGTTCTGGCTTTCACTGTACCCAGATGAAAAACTACACTCCCCAGCTTGCTTTGCAACTCACATGATTAAATTCTACACAGTGAACTAAAGAAGGACACATTGTATGAATATTCCTAATGCTTATGTTAACAGGTAATTTCAATAATAGTCTGTAACAACATAAAGGTTGCTTTCATAGCATCTTGTGTCATGTAGTGAATCCAAAGATGGAAACTATGATGAAGCAGAGACAAAGAAGGATGGCAAGAGAATACATTTTCTATGTTTAAATCATTACTTTCATAACTCAATTCCAGAGCTCCCCTCAATATTATTCCTAATCCAGATGAAATGTTAAGCTTCTTTTAAGTTTTTCTAGCCCATAGCTATACAAGGAGTAAATTTTTTTTCCATCCCATTTGTGAGGTTATAATTGACCACTTCTGAATTACTATTGTTTCCTTCTATCAGCTTTAATGAATGTTTGTTTCTCAGAGACTTTGCTAATTTTTCCTTCTGCACTTTATCTTGGTCCTCAGGAATATTGACAACACATATACTGTGAGTTACCTTGTAACTTAATGATTTAACTGTATAAAGATCATTCATAAAGACATTAAACAAAATTGGTTCAAAATTTATTTCTCTGATTCACAGACACTCCAAATTATTTGTGCTTTTCTTTTTCTACATTCATAACACTGTGTCTCAAGTCACATGGTACTGTGAACTTCGTGTGGGAACTTTTCCAACTATTTTAAACATTTTCAGTCCTTTCCATGCTCACTGTAATCAGCAAAAAACAAAGCTTAGAGGTTAAGCAGTCAAGTTTTGGTGTCACTCAGATAGTGAGCTCTGTCTCATACTGGTTGCACAACTTGAGCAAGTTATTAAATTTCCATGAACCTCAGGTACCTCAACAAAGAGCAATCAAAGCTATAAAATTATATTGAATAGATTAAATTGAAATTCTTCTCTTTTCCAGGTACATTACAGGATTGTGCCCCTCTTCAAGTGAGGAACATTAGGAATGCCATGTCACTTGTTTTAGTCAATGATTTGTGACTTATGGATGATTTATCTCTGGACAGTACAATTTTTCATGCTTTCTTTTTGCTTTACTAGATCAACCAGTAATGACTTAGGTACCTGGTCAACCAGAATGTAACCATATATACATACATAATAGACCACCCTTTCCCCAACTCTGCTGACCTGTCAACTCACAATGGACATGTAGTATGAAGGAGAAACAAATAAAAGTTATTCTAAGTCACGAAGGTTTGGGGCTTGTTTGTTACTGTAGCATAGACTCTGATACCGTTCATGGAAAAAATGCTCTGGCACTTAGTACAATGTTTTTGCCTTTGAGTAAATTCTGACTCAGGTGACCACAGGTATGCAAAGTAGAATTGCTCCAGTGGGTTTTCAAAGCTGTGGCCTTTCAGCAGAAAGGCTTGTCTTCCAAGGCATATAAGTTGTTCTTGTTAGGTACCATCAAGTCAGATACAACTCATAGCAACTGTATGAAGAGCCGACCAGAACTCTGTCCTATCCTGTGCCATCCTCACCATCTCTGATACACTAGAGTCCAAGTCACCATGTCAATCCATCTCTTTGTGGACCTTCCTCTCCTTCACTGACCCTCCGTCTTTCCAAGCATGATGTTGCTGTCCAAGAAATAGCCTGGCTTAGATTGTCCAAAATATGAAAGATGAAGCTTCACTATCCTTGCTTCCAAGATACCCTCTGGCTGCATCTTTAAACACCAAAACTTTGGGAAATAATCAGGTGTTTAACAATTTATATCACACAGAGACTTCTATAGATAATAAATGCTCAATAAATAATAAGTAAGTATCAGTATCGGGCCCCTAGTGGTATCATAAGTTTAGCACAAGTCTGCTATACAAAAGGTCAGTCATTCAAATGCACCAATCACTCCACAGAATGAGGCAGCAGTATCTTCCTTAACAATTCACAGCCTCAGGGAACTCTGGTGGCCTAATGGCAAGAAACTGCACTGTAATCCCAGAGGTGCGTGAGTCGAATCCACCAGATGCTCTGCTGGAGAAGGAGAGACCATCTCCTCCTGTACCAGTCAGATCCGATTTGACAGTACACACACACAAAATAATAATAAAAAAATAAATAAAAATTAAAAAAAATTCACAGCCTCAGAAAACATGGAGGGGAGGAAGGACCATTCTATACTTTCCTATAGGACCATTATGAGTTGGAATTGACTGCATGGCCAGCAGTGGGATTGGTTTCTATGCTTATTATTATAGGGTTTCTGAATTAAAACCAACTTTAGGAAGTGGATTTTTTTTATGGCTTATCATTATTATTAACATAATCTATTGTACCTTTTTGTGAGCTGGTCTTATTCTTTTTTAATCATACAATCATCATGATTCTTGAATAATATGTCATTTACCAATCAGTATAAGCTTTATTTTATTTAAGTCTCTACCAATTAAGCTAATCAACTTGCACTTAAAGCTTGTATTCTTACCATTGTTAAGAATATTCCAAATTCTGGATTTAAATCTACACAGTCACCATCAGAAAAAATGAACTGTTTTTTCCTCTCTTTTCTTGCTGTTAAGACAATATATATTTGTTGGGCTGCCACTGACAACACAGGCAGTTCAATCCTGTTAAACTCATCAAAACAGCCCCAGGAACCTGACTGTGCAAGGCCTGAAATAAAAAACAGTTGATTTGTGAAGGTTACCTTTATACACCTTCTTGATGACTATCCTTTCCCCAAAGTGCTCCTAAGCAATTACCTATTGAAACATAATTTAAAGTTGTATATCTGGTTGTTTATTTATGTATGTATCATTATCAAAGCAACAGAAATAGCACACACTAAAATGAAAGTTTAGCTAAGCCATTACACTCAAGATATTGATGGTAGGAACCCTTGATCAGTTAGGGACTGCCAGGAGCCATGGTAAGGTTGATTCATCAGAATAAGAAAAGTTAGATCTCTCATTGTTCCTTTTTTATTGCTATTACCTAGATATTTCTAGACACTGAGAGACAAATGCAAAGACCAAGCTTGTGGATTCAAAATGCCTAACTTCCAACACAAAATCAGTATAACAACAGCTTCTCTGGAAAGAAAAAGGCTGAAATCTCTCCAGAGACTAATAAGCCAACGTTTGCTGGACTTTGCTCTAATCAGTAATCAGCAGCAAGATGGACAGTTGTAAAGACTTAAAGCCTCAGAAACACGATGGAAAGTCACTCACTATGAGTCACAACTGATTCAATGGCAGTGAATTATCTCTATGGAAGGCTTGTAAATTTTTGTGAGAGAAGACTTCTTTCTTTCCAGAGAAGCTGGTGGATTCAAAGCAAACTTTCAGCACAAAATCACTGTAATACCAGGGCTCCTCATAATAACACATAGAAAACCCAATGGACCAGTTCTATCCTGTTACATAAGATTGTAATGAATCAAAACTCAACCCCATGGCACCTAACATCAGACATTTAAGTGGAGTTGTCAGTGGGAAATGTCTGTAATTTCATGAAGTCTATACTAGAAATAAATCTGGAAGTTATCATATCAATGGTATCTAAATCTTGAGTCTACATGATACCACCATGGGAATGGGAATAGATAGAAGAGAACCAGCAAAGGACATGATCTAGGATTGAAATGCTCTATTTTTTTTCTCTGTGCAGCTAAAACCACTTCCTATTTCTCTTTCAGGATTTTCTCAAAATTTCCCATTCACTAATAGCTCCCTTTCTTGTTTTCCAATGTTGGTACTTGTAGAAAAGAGAAATAAAAATAAAATAATTCATTTCAGAACTCTCGCTATGGGATCAAACTGACAACAACAACCAGAAAGAATAGGTAGGAACCATAATGGCTGACGTTACAAAAGGAGGGTGAGCATGGTTACACAACTTGAAAGTAACCCTGTCACTAAACGGTTCATGGAGAAATTGTTGACTTGTTAAATGTTTTACTGTCAACAACAATGACAATTACAAATAATAATGACAAAACAAACAAAACTCTATTTTTAAAATCCTTCCTTTCAGTAGACTAAAATGACCCACAGAGTCAGTTTTCTATCTTGCTTTTATTTCCTCCACCATTATTTCAGGAAAGAAATGGATTCAATTTTCAAAATCCAATCCTGGCCCACCTAGCAAATGAAGTACACCACCAGCAATAGTATTGAAACATATGTAATTGATGATATGTGACCATTTTTTTGGCCTAAGGAAATGGCAATACAATACAGATCAACTCATGCTAATGTTGATTATCTGAAACAATATCACTATTGATTACAAACAGAAAAGAGCACTGAAGTATAATAAAAATAAATGCACCAAAAATTATTTAATATAATCTTAACACTTGCCTTTAAAAATCCTTCCCAGGCCTCTGAAATCCATCTGATCTGAGCAATTGAACACAACCACATATTTTCCCAAACATCGTCCCATATCTTTTGTGGTTTCTGTTTTGCCAGTACCTGCAGGCCCAGCGGGAGCACCACCCATGTTCATGCCTAAAGCCTGTGCTAATGTGATATAACATCTGCAAATTTCAATCAGATAAAGTATTGTTAATGCAAGATTATCCATGAAACTTACTTTTGCTCTTGTGTATTTTCTACATCACAAAATTTTAAAAAACATATGTATGTTAAAGTTATTTCATTGTTAGACTGACTTTGATGAGATAATGTATACCCAACATCACAGCAACACATTTATGTTAATATTTAATGCAATTTTAAGATGCTTTTACATACTCAATTACAAAATGAAACAACAACAAAAATGTATTTCTTACCTATCTGTTAATGGAGTGATAACAAGACGATCAGTGCATCCCAGAAACTCATTTTGATAAATAAAATCAACATCTGTAATAGACACCACAGTTTGATCCAAATCTTCCTTAAAATAAAATCTGCTCTGTTTTAGCCACTCAAAATCAGTAACTGATTTGATATGCATTTTTACCTTAAAAACAAAAAGATACAAGAAGTTACATATTAGCTAGGATTTTGAAGCTCCACCTCACATACTTTTGGGCACATGGCCAGGAGAGACCAGTCCTTGGAGACGGACATCATTCTTGGAAGAGTAAAGGGACGGCACAGGAGAAAAAGACCCTGTATGAGATGGATTGATACAGTGACTGGGGCAATGGGGGTTGCTATGTTGAAATCAGTGAGACTGGCTCAGGATAGAGCAGGGTTCAGAGCTGCTGTACATAGGGTCACTGTGGGTCACAGGCTACTCAACAGCACATAACAGCAACAACATATCTCTGAGTTGCAACAGCACATAACTTATGGACAGTTTTTATTCACTCATTTACTATTACTATTATTCATGTAACAAAAAATATTTATTAGAGTTCTTTCTTAAGCTTCATAAGGGCTGAATGAATGAGAAAGACATGTTTTTGGCTTTCTAGAATTTACAGAAAAGGATAAAAATAACCATTCCTTGTGATTCAGACCCCGTCACATTCTTCAAAGAGATAGTGACAATAATTACCACCTTCACAAGGAAGGGAAAGAGATCCTGGATCAGCAAAGCACTTCTGAAAAAGAAAAACAAAGTAGGAGGTCTTACACTTTCTGACCTACTATTCAGCCACAGTAATCAAAGTAGTGTGGGATTGGTACAGTGACAGATACATAGACCAATGGAACATAAAGGAGAACCCAGAAGTAAATCCATGTACCTGCAGACTGCTAATCTTTGACAAAGAGATTAAAGCCATTAAAACGGGAAACGACAACCTCCTTAACAAATGATGCTGCAAAACTAGGTATCAATTTTCAGAAAACGGAAAGAAATCTATACATCACACTATGAACAAAATCTAACTCAAGATGGATCAAAGGCCTAGGCACAAAACCAAAAACTAAGAAGTTCATCAAAGAAAAAGGGGGATAAACTTTGTTAGTGTTATGTACCATGGAGTCAGAACCAACTCATAGCTGACACTCCAATAGGTTTTCAGAGGCAGTAAACAGCACAAGCAGACTGGTCATCTTTCTCCTGTAGAGCAGCTGGTGGATTTGAACTGTGTGCCTTTGTCTTGGCCTTGCAACTCCTAGGAGCTCAAACTACAGCATACATAGACTATCAAATATAAGACTGCCAGCTGGACTAAACTTAATCTAAGAAAATTTTCTTAATAAAAAAATCACCTTTTAGAAATAGCCTGTGAAATATTTTTCTTTATTCTATGTCAGTTTCTCCTTTTAAAATACTTAATTCAAGTGCCACTTTCTCTATAAAGCTTTCTCACTGGGACTTCCTATAAATTAAATCTTTATGTGCATCAAAAGACTTCTCTACGAGTGAAAAGAGATGCTTCACTCTTGAAGGAAAAAACAACAACAACAAAACCCTGGCAATGACATATCTGGCCAGGGACTCATCCCTAAAATTTATGGAAAACTTCAACATCTCAACAAGAAAAAGAAAAATAACTCAATTGCAAAATAAGCAGAGGACATGAAAAGACATTTCAGTAAAAAAGACTTTCAGATGGCCAAAAATCACATGAAAAATGCTCAAGGTCACTAACAGTTGAGCAAATAAAAATCTAAATGAAAATGAGACATCAGCTCCTCCTGGCAACAACTGCAAAATTCACCAAGTCTGTAAGCAACAAATGTGTGCAGGGATGTGGACAGAATGGAACTCTCAGATGCCACTGGTGGAAATGTAAAATGGGGCAGTCACAATGGAAAACAGACAATACTATTTGATCCAGCAATCCCACAACTAGGTATGTATCCAGAAGAAACAAAAGCTGCAGTACAAACAGATACATGCAAATACTCAAGCTCATGTCAGTATTATTCACAATAGCAAAAAGATACAAAAATTCACCAGGCTTAATACACACTAAAGTATTATGTGTTACTAAAGAACAATAAAGAATTTGTGAAACACTGCATAATATGGATGAATAGAAAAGACATGGTGCTGAGTGATATAAGTAAAAAAGGGACAAATATTTCATAATAACCACTATTATAAAAAGCTAAAGAAAGGTTTACACACAGAAGCATTCTTCGTAATTACCAGGGATGAGAAAGGAGGAACATGGTGCTAGGAAATAATAAACAGACAATAGATGTATGTAAAGATGGGTAAAAGGAAAGGCAAAATGTAGTAAAATGATTATCAGCAAAATATCACTAAAGAAAGAGAAGATCATATAGAAAGATTGATGGAAATCAGAATTACAGAGAGAAGTGGGGAAAATATGATTACACTTTAGGTACAGAAAATAATACCACTGAACAAAATCTACATGAAGGGTTGAATGTAAAATTAATTTCTTTGTAATCTTTCACTCAAATCATATACACAAAAGACAAAGAGTTAAAAATATAATTGTAATGTTGTTACATAATGCTGAGTCAGAACTGACTCATAGCTGACCCTCCAGCACGTTTTCAGAGGCAGTAAACTGCATTGGAGAAGACTGATAAGATTGCCACTCTTTCTCCCACAGAGCAACTGGTGGATTCAAACCATCTGTCTTTGGGTTAGCAGTACAACTCCTTATTCCTTTTCACTTAATCAATGAAAAATATACAGAGCAGGAGGGTTAAATCTACTCTTGGGTATTTGGTGAGAGTACAGGAATGGCTGAAGTTATTGTATGTCACCTTGGCTAGGTTATGACTTTCAGTGGCTTGGCAAAGTCAGCCGGGGTCTATAATATAAATTAATACAATACATTAAAGCTTGCAAAGCCTGGGACCCATGTAAGGCAGAAAACGGTTAAATGGGAAGAGGAGGAGAAGTATTTTCCATTAACACTGTGTTTAATCATTTGCACCGTCAGGTACACCAGATACAGTGTAAAACCAAAGCCAAAGCCAATGATAATGCTGTTGAGTTGATTCCAACTCCTGGTAACCATCCACTGAGCTCCGAAGACTATGAATCTGAATAGGAGGAGACTGTTTCACTTTCCCCAAGAGCACAGTAGTTGGTTTGAACTGCTGACTTTTCTGTTAGTGACCTAAACACTGACAGAAAGAACCAAGTAGATGAAAATATCATATAAGTAATATTAAGATCCAATGTCATCAAGTCAATTCTGACTAATAGCAACTGTACAGAACAGAGCATAACTGACCTATAGCCTTTCCAAGGATGTCATCTTTGTGGCTTAGCAGTAAAGATCCATGCTGCTAATGGGAAAGTATGCAATTTGAATCCATATGCAGTTCTGCAGCAGAAAGATGAACAATCTCTTCCTATGTGATTTACTGTCCCTGAAAACCCACTGAAAACTCTGACTCAAAGTACAAAACATACACTCAGTATCTTATAGAAGCAGACTCCCACAATATCTTCCTACACCTTTCTGTTAGCAGCTAAGCACTAAAAGCCACTCTGCCTCCAAGGCTTCTTACAAAACAACAGTATCAAATGATTCCTATACTAGTTACTTAAAATTAAGAAAAAGATACTTTACCAAGTCATCAAAAATATCCCTCTGATGCACATGGATGGTAATTAGAGTTTCAAATTTTACTCTGTCAAACTTGGATAAGTCATGTGTTGTCTGACTGATGAGAGTATTCAAAATGTCCAGAAACTTCTGATTGGTTGCTTGCATGATTTTCCTGTCATCCTTTGCATTATTTAAAGCCTCCTCAGAATCATGTGTCCACAACATCTGAATTCCCAAAAGCCCAACCTACAAAAAAGTCCAGAAGAAAAGGAAATCCATCCAATAACTAAAATCATCTGCAAGGATACATGGTGGTCATTTATCCATAAAAAGGAAAACTGGATTTAATTAAGCTAAAACTAAAAAGGAAAAAAAAATAATCACTTAGAAAGGAGATGTCCATTCGCTACTCTAAAGGAGGGGAGAGGCATTTAAAGTTCTTACCATTAATATTTGACTATGTCAATGTTCATATATAAATAACAATTACAATAATTTCTACATCTTATTGAACTATTATGGAAGCCTGTCCTGGAAGATGCTGTTTCTGTAGATCACTAGATAGCACCATGATTTTTCTTTTTATCTGAAGGAAAGTAAATGGAATAGACTATGTGTACTTTTCTTGACCAGGATTTTCCAAAGGTTTTTGTACCTTTTAAAAACCATATGCTGCCTATCCCCTCTCTTGACTTCTTACTCCAATACTCTTTACCTGTCTCTACATTTCTAATTTCTTTTACATGAGACAGACAGGCATGAAGAGACTATGAGTGGTTGTCACTTTGGGCCTAGAGTTCCTGCTCCAGGAAAAGTATGACAGTAAGCAGAACATGCTCTATCCTCAGTCCCTGTTGAAACAGTTCTTCTATTTTTCACCCTCAAAGCCAAGCAACGGATCCAGAGCAAACTGGACAGAATCTCACTTTGGCAGAAATCTGAATACAAATACATATTAAACTCAAAGTCTTGAAAACTAGTCAACATTCTTATTATATCCTGTTGAACATCACCTCTGATCTAAACTTGATGACCTCAAATCATCAATGTCTATACCTTCAGTGTAAACTAGATAGAGTCTCTTTTTTAATATTTTTTTTAAGTCTCTCTTTTAGTACTTACATGGTCAAGCATCCCTAGGAAAGGAAAAACATGTTGATTTAAGTCAAAGACCTATTCTCTCAATCGACCTACTAGAGCACCTCATAAGACATTATCACAGAGAAGTAATGATAATCCAGAAAGCCAAGATAAAGTTTTTAAAAAATATTACATATTATAAGAAGTCACAGTATTTGTCTTGCCTTCCATAATGAAGGTCGCCTTCCATAGTATGTTGTTTGATATTATTTTAGCTGTCTCTACTGTTTGTACACTCTTAATTCCAGAAGCAAGAAATCAAAAGATGAATTGCGTTGAGAAAATCTGCTGTCAGGGACATCTCCAGACTACTGAAGAGCAATGATGTCAGTTTTGAGACTGAGGTGCATCTGATTCAGGCCATGGTCTTCGCAATTACATGTTATGCATCAGAGAGTTAGACAGTAAATAGGGTTGATAGAAAGAGAATTGATGCTTTTGAGCTGTGGTGATGGAGAAGAGTGTTGAATATACCATGGACTGCTAGGGAAAAAAACCCAGTTTTGTCCTGGAGAGGATAAAACCGGGGTGTCCTTGGAGGCAAGGATTCTGAAGCTTCGTCTGACATACTTTGGGTATGTTGCAAGGAGAGACCAGTCCTTGGAGAGGGATATCATGCTTGGGAGGGTGGAGGGACAGCACAAGAGAGGAACACCCTCGATGAGATGGATTGATTCAGTGGCTGGGGTAATAGGGACAGGGGTGTCAGAGATAATAAGGTTGGCTCAGGATAGAGCAGGGTTCAGAGCTGCTGTACATAGGGTTGCTATGAGATGCAGGCAACTTGATGGCACATAATATCAACAACTGTACAGTAATTCAAGATTTGTAGTGAAGGAAGAGGAATAGCTGAAGTGAATACTGTCTCTGTCCCTTCAGGAGTTGTGGACCAGCAGGTGTCTGAGAGTTGAGCTGAAATGAGACTGGGGATGCTCCTCTAAGACATAGATACAACTGCTTCCCCACTACCAGGTAGACTGTTTCCTTCCTTTTTTTTCTTTTTTATGGTTATTGAAAATATTGCTCATCTCACCTGTGCTGGAAAATGATTTAGGAAAGGTAAGAGTTGAAATCCTGTGTCACTGATTTGATAGAATGCAGATCTAATGATATTATGCAATGATGACATTTGCATTTTTAACAAATCTAGAAGCCAAATCTCTACAGGACCTTTGGCCATGATGGAATTATCCAACTAAAAGAGAAAAAAGATTGTAAATAATTATAAATACATTGAAAAATATTAAGAGTTTGGTGCTTTATAAATATCCCACACACGATAAATCATAATACCTCAATGCAAAGCAAATCGTTTCATACTTTGTGCAAATATTCAAAGCACAAGCTAAAATCATGTAATAGTACACATGGAAGGAAATGACACAGTACTCATTTCACAGATGATAAAAAATTTCAAAGAAGTTAAATAATTTACCAAAATAGTTTGCATTAATAGCAAAGTCAAGACTACAGAAGTAGAACCTGAATCTTACTCCACTCCAACACACACATACTCCTTTACACGTTTATATGAACATGCACACGTTTGTCTTTGGGTGAGGCAAATACTCTCCACCAGTGTAACTTATTTATTAAACTAAGGAGGGACTGATCCTTGGAGAGGGACATCATGCTTGGTAGGGTAGAGGGACAGCACAGGAGGGGAAGGCCCTCTATGAGGTGGATTGATTCAGTGACTGGGGTAATCAGGATGGGTGTATCGGAGACAGTGAGACTGGCACAGGACAGAGCAGAGTTTAGGGATATTTATTATACATAGGGTCGCTATGAGTCACAAGTGACTCGATGGCACATAACAACAACAACTACTAATAAAAAGTTCAGCTGATTTAACTACCATAATCTTTTCTCCTTCTCTTGATATGACAGACATCATACGATCGTAGTCTTTGGGATGAAATGTCACCTCATTTATGTTGTCAGAAACAGCAGGGAGATGCGGCTGCAAGAAGCACAAGACATAGCAAAAACAACTTTTGGGAGGAAAAAAATTAAACACAACAAGCTATTGAAATATCTTTGAAAGCATTCATTTTCTTATCTTTTTTAAAGGATTAAGAATATTACTTCATTGTCTTAAAAAATAATAATTCAGACTCTCCATGGTCATTAGACTAATAGAACTTCAACTCTTTACAATCCAGTCTTGTGAGTTTTCTCTGAGTATTGCAATACCTCCTGACAAAAGACCTATAAATCTGCTCTCCCAACGATTAAACTCATTGATGTCAAGTTGCAGCCAAATCATAGCATGGGAAGAGACTGGCCATCTCTCTCTCTAGAAGGAGCCATTGGTGGATTTGAACTACCAGAGAGATGCCATGTTTGAGTTAGTGGATCAATGTCTGACAACTACACCACCAGAGCTCCCCATAAAAATTACATGGAGCCATTCTCTGCTCTACAGTATTCTCTGAATTAGGATCAACTCAATAGAATGAGTTTGGGTTGGATATTTTAGAAGTTCTATACCACTAAGTTAGAACTGATCTGTAGCTGATCCTCAGGTGGATTTTATGACATTAAGTGGCACTTAGGGAGAAGATTATCCATCTTTCTCTTGGGGAGCAGCAGATAGATTCGAACTACATGCTTTCGGGTTGACAGCAAAGCTCCTTAGCACAAGGCCACCAGAGCTCCATTGGTTTGGATGTTGGGTTTTTTAAAAAAAAATTTACTTTTTTTTTTATTTTTAAGGAAAAGCTATTCAACATATAGTTTCTTTTTTTGTTAGTTTTTAAAAATTTTATATTGCTCTGCATACAAAATTCATGCACATTGTGTTTCAGTCAATACATTGAGTTTTATCAAATTAATAACCATTGATCTATACCCACTATTAACCCATCTTTTCAAGTCCCCATTGGATCTTTTTTAATTCTCTTACTCCCTGTCTCTGCCCACAGTACCCTTGGTTTGGGTATTTTTATGCTGTGGAGAACAGACTAAAGAGAGTCACCTTCCTCCAGGTAAAGACTGAACCATATTTCCCTGCCTATCTCCCTCCCAGACACCTCTCAGTCTGCCTTCTTTCTTGGCTTCATCTTCTCCTTTCACAGCTCTAATTTCCTTCTTGGTTTTTTTGTTTTATTTCTGTTTTCTTTTCCCACAACTCCCTAGAAACCAAGAAGGAAGACAATACAAGCCACATTCTAGATTCCCAAACCAGAAAGCACTTTAGGATGGGTGTTTCACTACCTTCAATGCCCAGTACTCTATAGTTAGTTGGGTTTTTTGTTTTGTTTTTCTTTCTTCTGGAAGTATTGGAAATGAATAAAACCACTTGAAAAACATTCTGAGGCAAAAAAGGGCAAATTCAAACCACACAAATTCAAACTAAAAACATATAGACAGTAATATTCATAATAATGATTTATATTTAGGAAGTACATACTATGCACCATAACTTTTGTTACATATTTTATAATTAACACATATTACCCATTAAGTATTCATGATAATCATATGAGGGAGGTCATTACTATCCCAATATTACAGCTAAGGAAAATGAGATATAAGGAAATTAAGAAGTTCCATAAGATTATCCACCTAATTAGTGTTATAACCACTGACTTCTACTCCCTAGTCCAGCTGAATTCCCCCAGGTAGATAGGCCACAAGTGCACAGGAAACAGAAAATTTTATATCTAAAAGAATATCTTTTCTTTTTTGTTATTGTTGTTGGGAATATACACAGCTGAACATAAACAAATCAACAGCTTCTGTATACAACTCAGTGACAGTTGTAGAATTGTTCTCACACTCCTTTTTCTGAGTTGTTCCTCCTCCTTTAACTCATTTCCCCTGTTGTCAATTTTGTTCCATATCAATAGATCTTAAAAATATAATACTTATGGCAGAATTTCTTTTCTAGTTAAGCTAAATTATTTACTCTATAAGAAGATTTCAGAGGTGTTTTGACATATTTTTAATACTATTCTTTCTTGCCAATACTTTTTAAAAAATAATAAGATGTCAATGTAATTTTCTTTATTGTTAAGTACACTAGTTTCAAAAAAAAACCCAAACACTTGGGAAATAAGTAGATATTTAGAATATACCTGTATGGTATGAGAATCACTGGCTTGCCCAAGAATTTCCAGGAGAACTGGATCAGATACAAAGAAGAATCTTGGAAAAAGTAATCGCTTCTTCTCCAAATACCTTAAAATAAAATCAATAACACATTACAAATGATTTTTTTTCTTCTGAGTTATTTACTTACTTATCTACAGTCCAGGCACTATTATTAACATCCTTAGCAAGATCAGATTAGTCTAGAAATATTTATAGACTACTAATATCCATAATTACAAATTGCATTTAGCAAGTGTATACTACAATGGAAGAAATTTTGCCATGCAGTTTGCAGTTAGTAAAACATTTGCTTCTGGTGTATTTGATGAAAATCAAATCCCATGCTTCAACATAGATGGCACTGGGGAAGACACCTGTCCCAACAGGCTGCCCCAACATCTTTCAGCTTCTGTTTTCTCAACAAGAGACTTCTTATGATCCTTCATAAAAAAAATATTGTAAATCTCATGGCTTAAGGGCTTAAAATGAACACATCTCTAAACAGGGACATTTTTAGACTAAAAGAGGATTAGTGCATTGATATAATGATAAAGTTTGGATTTCATTGGGAAAATAAGGGCATGCTATCATTTTATAGACCTATTTCAATAGAATCTGAGAATGAACTGGCTTGTAAGAAAGTAATCCATTAATTATTTTTACTGGTTTTATGGTGCAACTGCACATTACAATGTTGATTGGTGGCCCCCAAAAGATATGTCTGACCACATATTATTCCCTAGAACCTGTGTATCTGACCTTATTTTGAAAAGAAATCTTGAAGGTGAAATTAAGATGAGGAGATTATCAAGGATTACACAAGTTAGCCCTGAATGCAATGACAAGAGAGATTTAAGGAGAAGAGATTAAGCCAAATGAAGGTGGAGACAAAGGTTGGAATTATGTAACTACAAGCCAAGGAATGCATGAAGCCATTAGAAGCTAAAAGAAAAGCATAGAACAGATCCCTCTAAAACCTTTAGAATGAACATGGTCCTGCTAACACCTTGACTTTGGACTTCTGGCCTCCCAAAAACAAAATGACGTTGCTTTAAGCCACTAAGTTTGTGATAATTTCCTACAGCAACTCTCATTCATTAATGTGGTTAGAGCTTTAACCCACCAACCCTCAAATCCTACACACCTTTCCCCCTACCCAAGAAAATGTAAATACACGTGAAATTTTAAATTCCTGTCCCTCATGCCTACCCTCATAACCAAACTTAAAATGCAGCTAATGCCATTAATTTGTTTAGGATAAAATATCACCACATGTAAAATAATAGGTAACCAGGAAATTTTAAAATTAAACTCTTACCCAGTAAGTGACTTCTGACATACTTCCAACTGTTCATGCAAATGAGGTAACAATTGCCCCATAGTTTCATCTCCAACACAACAACTAATCACATTGGGATTCTCATGAGCTCGCTGCATTATTTTTATCCATGACTTGTCAATATTCTGAAAACGTTTTGCTTCCTAAAAACAAATCCGTAGTCATTAAAGATTAACATTTGGATAACTAGATAAAGTTTTCACTTTGGAATTTCTTAATATTTCTTCAAACCCACCTTAATTAGTCTCAGGCAACATCATTTGAACAATTTTTTTCACCTGAGCTAATTTTGAACAACAAAGCCCCAATATAATGAAGCCATTTATTTAAACTAAATTCCTTTGCCGTAAACAGAGAACTACCAGAAGTCCAGGCTGGGTTTAGAAGGGGTCGTGGTACTAGAGATATTGTAGCTGATGTTAGATGGATTTTGGCTGAAAGCAGGGAATACCAGAGGAATGTCTATCTGTGTTTCATTGACTATGCAAAGGCATTTGACTGTGTAGATAATAACAAACTATGGCTGACTATGAGAAGAATGGGAATCCCAGAACACTTGATCGTGCTAATGCAAAACTTATACTTGGATCAGGAGGCAGTCATCAGAACAGAACAAGGGAACACTGCATGGTTCAAAATTGGGAAGGGCGTATGCCAGGGATGCATCCTATCTCCATACCTTTTCAACCTATATGCAGAACAGATTATCTGGGAAGCTGGGCTCTATGGGGAGAAATGTGGGGTCAAGATTGGTGGACGATTTATCAACAATCTGCATTATGCGGATGACACAACCCTGCTTGCTGAAACTGAGGAGGACCTGAAGCACCTGCTGCAGAGTGTCAAGGACTGCAGCCTACAATATGGATTGAGGCTCAATGTCAAGAAGACAAAGATTCTCACCACTAGACCAACTGGCAGGATCAGGATGGATGGTGAAGAGATTGAGATTGTACACAGCTTTAGTTTGCTTGGCTCCATAGTCAACAGTCTTGGCACCAGCAGCCAGGAAATTAAAAGGCGCATTGCCATGGGAAAGTCTGCTGTTAGGGACCTCTCCAAAGTACTGAAGAGCAATGGTGTCTCTCTGGAGACTAAGGTGCGTCTGATACAGGTCCTGGTCTTTGCAATCACTTGTTATGCATCAGAGAGTTGGACAATGACCAAGGAGGATAGAAGGAGAATTGATGCCTTTGAGCTGTGGTGCTGGAGAAGAGTATTGAGAATACCATGGACTGCTAGGAAAACAAACAGATTTGTCCTGGAAAGGGTTAAACTAGGTGGCTCCTTGGAGGCAAGGATTCTGAGGCTCCGTCTAACATACTTTGGACATGTTGTGAGGAGAGACCGGTCCTTAGAGAGGGACATCATGCTTGGGAGGGTAGAGGGACGGCGCAGGAGAGGAAGGCCCTCTATGAGGTGGATTGATTCAGTGACTGGGATAATTGGGATGGGAGTGTCAGAGACAGTGCGATTGGCACAGGACAGAGCGGAGTTTAGGGCTGTTGTACATAGGGTCGCTATGAGTCACAAGCGATTCGACGGCACATAACAACAACATTTATTTAAACACTTCTTTGTCTCCATGGAGTTTATTTTTTATTTGTTTCCTTGCATGTAATGAAGGGTTTCTTCCCCACATACCACTGACAGAGCTTTCTACTTAAAAGTTCACATCTAGTCTTTGAGCACCCAGGTGTTTTGGTTTGGTGAGAAAACTAAAGCAACATGAAACAATTTGATAACAGAACACTCAAAATAATTACAACCCTGCAGTAACACGCCCCTCCAAACTAAACCCATTGCCATTGAGTCAATTATGACTCAGTCCCTAAAGGACAGAGTAGGGATGACGCATAAGGTTTCTAAGGTTTTAAATCTTATAGAGCAGAGAATTTTTCCATAATTCTCTTGTGACTCCAGGAATGAGGAGGGTGGGGGATAAGGAAAACAATAAAAATTCAAAACAAAAGCTCTGTTTGTATTTTATAAATAGAAAGTTTCTGTTATTATAATACAACATTCTTTCACTTCATGCTTTTATAATGTGTTGCACAAAGGGAAATATATCATTTTCAAAATCATTTCATCCTTGATTTTTAATCTAAAAGCCATGACTAAAGGTATGGAAATTCAGTAGGAGTAAGTTTGACTTTATAAGAGGCTAACCTCTTATAAAGTATCTAATACTTTCAGAATAAAACTACTGTTGTTGGTATGTGCCTTCAAGTCAGAACTGACTTTTAACTGACCATCCAGTGGATTTTCAAAGGCTGTAATCACACAGAAGGAGACTGCTCTTCTTCAGAGAAGCAGCTGGTACATTCCTGGAGGGGGCGAAACCAGGCTGCTCCCTGGATTCTGAAGCTCCGTCTAACATATTTTGGGCATGTTGCAAGGAAGGACCAGTCCTTAGGGAGGGACAGCAAGAGAGAAAGGCCCTGAATGAGCTGAATTGACTCAGTGTCTGAGGTAATGTGGGTAAATGTGTCAGAGATAATGAAGCTGGTGCAAGATAGAGCAGGGTTCAGGACTGTTGTGCACAGGGTCAGTATGATTCACAAATGACTCGACAGCAAATAACAACAACAACAATAACCTTCTTACAACTAGGCCACCAGAACTCCCTTAGAATAAAATTACTAGTTAGTTATTGGCATTTATTTAAAAGGCCTGTGGGATAAAGAAAGGAACTCTGGTGGTGCAGTGGTTAAAGAGTTGAGCTATTAATCAGTTCAGTGTTCTAGTCCACCAGCCATTCCACAGAAGAAAGATGTGGTGATCTGTTTCTTGAAAAGATTTAAAGCCTTGAAAACCCTCTGGAGAAGTTCAGCTTTGTCCAATAAGATACTAGTGAATCAAAAACCAACTCAAAAGTTTATTTTAGTGGGACAAAGGTCCTAATTTCACTGACCTTTATTCTTGACTTCAGAAAAAAATTTTTTAATAATTAGTTGTTCCTTTGTCTGAGACTTCTAGGCCATCCGAGACTTTGTATTGGCAAGTAGTGGCTGGCAGACCCAACAGACTCAACTGAAAGACTGACTTTAAGCACATTCAAGAGGAATAATTTAGTCTATCATACAAAAGTTGCAAATAAAAGTCTTGAATATGAGGTTCAAAAAGCTTCCTGGATGATGAGAATATCTGCCCTTATTCAGATAGCATGTCCCTTCGGAAATGAAAATGTTGCCTTGGGAACTCTCTCAGAACTCACCCTTTGTATCTTTTTGTTTATACACTTCTTGGTTTCAAAATCAGGAAAGGAATGCATCGGGGATGTGTCATGTCTCCATACCTTTTCAATATATATGCAGAACAGATCATTTGGGAGGCTCAGCTTTATGAGGAGGAGTGCGGCATCAGGATTGAGGAAGACTCATTTACAATCCTACATTATGCAGATGACATAACCCTGCTTGCTGAAACTGAGGATGACCTGACCCACCTGCTGCAGAAGGTCAAGGACTGTAGTCTTCCATATGGATTTAAGCTCAACATCAAGAAGATAAAGATTCTCACCACTGAGCCAACTGGAAGCACCATGATGTATAGAAAAGAGACTGAGGTTGTTAACAATTACAGCTTGCTTGGATCCACAATCAATACTCTTGGCACAAACAGTTAGGAAATCAAGATGAATTGCATTAGGAAAATCTGCTGTTAGGGACCTGTCCAAAGTACTAAGAAGCAATCATCAGTCTAGAGACTAAGGAGTGCCTGGTCCATGGTCTTTGCAATTACTTGCTGTGCATCAGAGAGCTGGACAATAACTAAAGATGACAGAAGAATTATTGATGCGTTTGCATTGTGGTGCTGGACTGTCAAGAAAACAAATAAGTCTGTTTGGAGAGGGTGAAACCAAGTTTCTCTTTGGAGGTCACAATTTTGAATCTCAGTCTCACACACTATGGGCATGTGGCCAGAAGGAACTAGTCCTTGGAGAAAAACATAATATTCAGAAGGATGGAAGGACAACACAGGAAAGGAAGAACCCGGATGAGATGAATTGATATAGTAACTGGGGTAATGGGGGTAGGTGTGTTGGAGTCAATGAAACTGGCTCAGGAAAGGGTAGGTTTCAGAGCTGTTGTACAAAGGGCTGCTATGAGTCACAGGTAACTTGATGGTACCTAACAACAACAACAACCTAAGTATAGTACAGGGAGTTTTGATGGCTTAGTGGTAGGTAAGGAGTGACACTACCAAGCCAAAGGCTGACATTTCAAGTTCACCAGCTACTCTGAGGGAGAAAGAGACTCAATCTCCTTTCATGTGACTTACGAACTCTGAAAACCCTGTGAAATTCAGCTATAAAGCAGTTCCAAATTGATCAAACATAACAACAAAAAGTATAGTCTATTCTCTATGAATTCTGAAAATCACTCCAAGGAATTGTAGAACCCAAATGGACAGTAGAAGCCACCAGGTCAGAAAATGATGCAATGAGTACCGGAGCTTATTGGTAGCATCCTAAAGGGTAATGGAAAAGCAGTCCCGGATTTGTAGCCAACGGACTGGAAGGTTGACATATCATGTCGACTCCCCAGATCTGTACTAGTGTCTAACTACTCAGCAGTGTGAAATTATTGTCCTCTGAACCTCTGAGCTCTGACCTGGGTAGAGCTTGGACCTGATCTCTGGGTAGCTAGGGACACAAAGAGAGAATGTCTCAGGGGCAGATGGTGATAAGGACTGAGAAGTAAAAATGTGAAGACTGGATCAATCTCTTTATTTGGGGAATTCACTCTGATCCTTACTACAAAGAACAAAGACCCCCAAATTATTGTTTTAAAGCTTTTGTTGAAGGCTTCTAAGGCTAAGTTTCCTTGCCTTCATTTTCCTTGTTTTTAATCTGTTATTATTAAAATTCAAGGGGGCTCTGAAGCTATACTCTATGAAGAGTGTGACATCAGGATCAGAGGGAGACTTATTAATAATCTGCATTATGTAGATGCCACAACTTCACATTGCTGAAAGTGAGAAGGACTTAAAGCACTTGTTGCAGAATGTAGCTTTCAGTATGGATTGCATCTCAATGTCAAGTAAACAAAGATTCTTACCACAGAATCAACAGGCAGCATCATGAATGGATAGAGAAGAGACTAAAACTGTCAACAGCTTCATCTTGCTTGGATCCACAATTAACACCCGTGGTACCAGCAGCCAGGAAATAAGGAGACGCATTGCACTAGAAAAATCTTCAGTTAGGCATCCCTCCAAATTATTCAGGAGTTAGTTTAAGGACTAAGATGTGTCTGATTCAGGCAATAGTTTTTCTCACTACTTGCTATGTATCTGAGAGCTGGACAATGAATAAGGATGACAGATGAAGAAGTAATGCCTTTGAGCTGTGGTATTGAACACTGAACATCCCATGAGTGGCCAGGAGAACAAACAGCAAGTTATTGGAGAGGAAGCAGCCAGAGTGCTCTTTTGAGGCTAGAATGATGAGGTTTCACCTCATATGCTTTCGGCATGTTGCTAGGAGGGGCTATTCCTTGGAGAAGGACATGATACTAGGAAGGGTGGAGGGTCTTCAAAGGAGAGGAATCAGGTTGACTGACATTGTGACTGCTGCAATGGGCTCTTGTGTGAGGAAGGGTGAGGATGGCTCAAGATAGAGCAGGGTTGAAATCTTTTGTTATAGGGTTATTATGAGACATACTCAACTTGATGGCACCTAACAACAACAGCAACTGGTGGCCTAATGGTAAGAAGATGAGCTGCCAACCTGAAAATACATGGTTTGAATTCACTGACTGCTCCATGGGAGAAAGATGAGCAATCTCCTGCCATGTGATTTACTGCCTTTGAAAACCTGCAGGCGAGTTAGCTATGAGTTGGATCCACCTCGATGGTACCTAACAACAATAATTTTTAAATTTGCTAAAAGTTAACTTGTATTTGCAGGTGTTAATTCACGGAATTGATACTCTTAAAATTTAATGGTACCACATTTACAATATAATTTAATGGTACCACGTGTATAATGTACTTCACACCCTATGTCAATTTTCAAGAAAATGTTTCTTCTTTCTGCTAGAGAAAATCAAGATAAATCACTTTTAAAGTTGAGTGTCGTGGGGTTTTTCCCCTATAAAGGACAGTAATCACTGTAGGGCTTGCAGGTCACATGATATTATTTCTCACAACTACTCACTTCTGTCATCGTTGTGCAAAAGCACCCTATTTCTAGTCATTGTGGAGTCAATTAAAAATCATGGTGATGAAGCCTTAAGACAATACATAGACAGGCATGTCTCTGTTTCAATAAAACTTTATATACAAAAATAGGCGAGTTGACTGATTGAAGCCATAATTTGTCAACTCCTGGTACAAAATAATCAACTCAATCACATGTCTTTGTGAAGGTTTTTACATATAAACAGCCCATACCATAGTAGCCTCTTCAGAAGTTATAAAAGCCATATTTACCTGAGGCAGCTGTTTGGCAATATCTCCACCGACAAAAACAGCTTCAAGATAAACCCAAAGATTCTGTACTACCAGCCACTCTTCAATTATATCTGAAGAAGTAGACAATTTATACACCCAGTTCTGAATATTCTTTTTAAATGGAGTATTATATCTAAAAAAAAAATTAAAGAAGAATGAGAAATATGTTCTCAAGGAAGATATCAAAAATTGTACTACCTACCCATGGAAATTGGCAGTCTCCTCCTGTTTGATTAACTGTCTCTGAAAACCCACTGGAGGATCAGCTAAGAGTTGGTTCCTCCTTGACGGCAAAAAACCATCACCACCAATGAAATAAAGGAGAAGCAATTCCATGGAAATGAACATGTATTCCCTAAAGGGTTGTTAATAAATATCATATAATTCATATTTTGTTTCTTTATAAATATTACTTATAAAGTCTCAGTGATTCCTTTATTGTTCCCTTTTCTTAGTCCTAAAATAGGAAAATAGACCAAGAATTGTGTTGGTTACCTCTGAGAACAAATAGGATGGCTTTCCAATATATCTGTGAATAAAATCCAAGGAATCTTTTTATGAGAATGACACATAGGAGTATACTATTTGCTACTAGACTGTAGAACCACTGAATCTAGGGAGAGGAACCAATATCCAGGGTATTTCCTATTGTGGAAGGTCTAGAAGGCTTCATCAAGGAAGAGATAGGACAAGATACAAGTTCACCTAGAGAAAGGAGGCCACAAGACCAGAATCAGTTTGAGGCTTTAAGTTCATTTACAGGTGTGCTTTTCCCATTCACAGACAACTAATTCCACACAAAAGTACTACTAGTGGAGATCCAGGATAGATATTCCAGAATTGTTAAGTTCCTGTTTTTGATCACCGGAGCCAGCTGAGAAATTTATGAGAATATAGTGTCCAGAGAGTTGCACACAGCAAGGCAAGTAGAGGGACTGAGAGTAAGTCATGGACGAAGCAATGGAAACCTATTAGGTGAAGATCCCACTGACCTAAGGCTGGATCAGGAAGCAGACCTCAGTTTGTGACAAGTAATTTTGATCTGTGTCATGGAATTTCCCAGTGTTTCCATTTGTTCTTTAGGGTCCTGTAACATTTTAACTCCCCATTTCCTCCTCTCTTTACCCCACAGTAATCTCCAATCTCATTTTACCTTGCTATATTTACCTCTTCTGGACATTTAATACAAGTGAGATCATATAAAATTTGCCTTTTTGTGCTTGGTTTATTTCACTTCACATTATACTTTCAAGGATCATCTATGTGTTGTCATGTATAAGAATATAATTTCTATTTATAGCTATATGTATAAACTACATTTTGTGTGATTACTCATCTGTTAATGAACACCTGAATTATTTCCATGTTTTGATTATTGTGAATAACAATTTTTCTGTAACAGGGTGGCTAGAAGATGTCCATATATATGTAAAGGGATTTTTCTTAATACAAGATGAGTGAAATACTTAATTTCCCTAGAAATGTATGTTATATGAAAATATAAAGAGAGCTGCACAGAAGACGTTCTGGGAGGGAGATGATCCAATAAGAGGCTTTTTCCAACACCTAATTAATACTGTGCAACTGGTCTCTACAGAGCTCTGTTGGCACAGTCTGTGATTAAATTGTGCTACTAACCCAGAGGCCATGCCTTGTTCAAATCTACAAGTGACTCCCCAGGACAAAGATAGGAAATCCTTTCTAACTCATTGGAATGTCAGCTATGAATTGGTTACAACATGAAAGCAATGAGAGTTAACTAACCTTTGATCTGGAATTGAAAGGCAATCAACAGATAGTATCATATCTAAAGCATCTTCAAAATGCAGATTAAAATTAAATGGTACCCATTTCATGGAGCTGAAATGCCTAATTTTTTAGGACCAAAAATAGTCTTGTACAGAGAATAAAATTCATTTTAGTGATTATATAACTTCTTAATATAAAAAGAGACATATCTAAACCAGTTCCTGTCCTTGGTCTACGTACTTGCAGTTGACATCATTGTACGATCGAATGTTCCTTGCCTAACAGGAAGCCCAACAAAATCATGACTCTACCAGAAAATTGTCATAATCTATGCAATACCTAGGGTCAAAACTCATTCATGAAGACATATAATTTCCTTTTGAAATCCCATCAAAGTATTCTTGGCGATACAGCCTGCTACAAAATCACTCTATAATTAATCCTGGAAAAGTTATAGCAAATCCAGTTGGTGCTGCAAAGCTGTATAGAAGACAAATCTCACGGAATAAGTTGCTTTTTCATACTCTGACTTTCAAGCACAGCCAGAGTATTGGCCTTTTAAACACTATTATATTTCTAAGACTATAAATAGATATTATACTAATCCGATTATGTCCAACTAACAGTAAAATTGTTTGTACATAGGTTTTCCTCTCCAAAGTACTGAAACGCAATGGTGTCACTCTAGAGACTAAGGTTTGCCTGATACAGGCCATGGTCTTTGAAATAATTTTGTATGTGTCAGAGATTTCGACAGTGACTAGGGAGAACAGAAGGAAAATTGATGCCTTTGAGCTGTGGTGTTGAAGAAGAGCATTGGATATGTCATGGGCTGCTAAGAAAACAAACAGATTCATCCTGGAGAGGATTAGACCAGGCTGCTCCTTGGAGGCAAGGATTCTGAAGCTTCATCTGACATATTCTGGACATGTTGCAAGGAGGGAGCAGTCCTTGGAGAAGGAGGTCATGTTTGGAAGGGTGGAGGGACAGTGCAGGAGAGAAAGACCCTCTATGAGGTGGATTGATTCAGTGACTGGGGTAATTGGTATAGGTGTGTTGGAGACCGTGAGACTGGCACAGGATAGAGCAGGGTTTAGGGCTGTTGTACATAGGGTCTCATAGGTATATATGCATCACAGGCAACTCAATGACAAATAATAACAACAATAAAATTAAGATCTTCTAATTCCTGAATTCTTTGGGTACAGGCACTATAAATATGAATCTACAGTCCTCATTCCTAGTCATCCATGAAATCTTAGATGACTTTTGAGGATGCCATAGCTTATGGTCACAATCACGAGGATCATTCTGAATAGATGAAAAAGGGGTACACCACAGGGTCTTATCGTTAGTATATTCAACCCATAATTTCCTTCACTGGGAATTTTTTATTATGCAAATGACACACGCTTGTTTGCTGAAATCAAGGAAGACATTAAGCGCTTGCTGTAGAAGGTCAAGAATTTAGTCTTCAATATGGACTGAAGTTCAACATCAAGAAGACAAAGATTCTCACTTCTGGGCCAGTTGGCAGCACCATGATGGATGGAGAAGAGATTGAGGTTGTTATCAATTACAGCTTGTTCGGCTCCACAATCAACACTTTTGGCATCAGCAGTCAGGAAATCAAAATTAATTGCATTAGGAAAATCTTCTATTATGGACCTCTCCAGAGTACTGAGAAGCAACTATGCCAGTCTAGAGACTAAGGTGCCTAATCCAGGTCATGGTCTTTGCATTTACTTGCTATGCATTAGAGAGCTGGATAATGACTAAGGATGACAGAAGAATTACTGATGTCTTTGAGTTGTGGTGCTGGAGAAGAGTCTTGAACATATCATGAACTGGAAAAAAAAAACCCCACCCAAATAAGTCTGTCTTGGAGAGGGTGAAACCAAGTTTCTCCTTAGAGGTAAGAATTTTGAAGCTCTGTCTCACATACTTTGGGCACATGGCCAGGAGTGACTAATCCTTAGAGAAGGACATCTTTCTCAAAAGGGTAGAGGGACAACACAGGAGAGGAAGACTCCAGATGAGATGGATTGGTACAGTAAGTGGAATGGGCACAGTAAAGTGGAATGGGAATACAGTAAGAGCAATGGGGGTAGAGTCAGTGAGAGTTAGAGTCAGTGAATCTGGATCAGATAGGGTAGGCTTCAGAGATGCTGTGCATAGATCCACTATGAGTAGCAGGTGACTCAATGGTATATAACAAAAACAACAAGGAGCTTTATGGATTAGTGCATTGCCCACATACAAGATCACTTCTAGGGCCAGAAGTCATGCGTGATGACATCATGGACATGTGATTCCAAGAGAAGGATACTAGAATCTCTACTCTCTATGACTTAAGTTAATGATGAGTGTGTGACATTAACTTAGGTGTGCTGAAGTAAAGAACAGTCAAGAACTACCAACATGGCTAACTTCAGGGATAGAAGTTACTAATGTTCAGTTCAAGGATCTGATAGAATAGTTGGCCTGAATGAGCTGTCATTGCAATTTCATGAAGCTGCACTTTAAAGCATGTGGTCTAGTGATTACATGATGAAGAGGTTGCCTCATTCAGACCACATTGGCATAGATCCAGCTGCTTTTCACCATGGAAAAAAATGCAAGTGCGTAAGTGCCAAGCCTCTAGCAGTACATTTCCTTCATGTGTGGCCAGCATGCTTTTGCTGGGTCACTGGGCTTGAATGAGTTTGGCCAAGGGGGACTATGATGACAAGTCAAAATAACAAAGGAGAGAAGGTAAAACAAAAGGCCCTCCTCTCCCTGAACAACAAAGCTGTTCAGAGGATAAAATTCCAATTTGGTGGGAAATAATTACAAAGAAACTCACCAGGAAAAAAGTAGAAGGAGAGAAATTATTCTCATTAAAGAAGAAGTGAAAGCTATGATTGTTGAGGGAAATAGGAGGGCTAGACAAGAGTTAGCAGAATCCTCTGTTATGCTGTAGTTGCAGAACTGGGTTATTTTACCTAGAATTATATCTATATAACCATGTTTTAGCATGCCAAACAGAAATCTCACACATAAGAATCTTTTAAAGAGAGAAATATAGCGACTCATTGTGAAAATGTAACCAGTGCTACTGAACAATTTATAATGAAATTGTCAAATAGCAGCCTAATTTTTCTTTGACAAAATCCAACACCCATTCCTGATTAAAACATTCAACACAATAGGTTTATAGTGAAATTTCTTCAACATAGTAAAAAATATATACACAAACATGAGAGCCAACATTGTTCTCAATGGAGAGAACTAGGCAATGATGCCCACTATCACCTCTCCTATTCAATATTGTATTGGAAGTCTCAGTGATAGCAATAAGGCAAGAGAACGAAATAAGAACTATCCAAATTGCCAAAGAGGAGGTAAAATTATCTCTCTATGCAGATGATATGATAGTATACTTAGAAAACCCTAGACTCAGCAAGAAAAGTACTAGAAATAGCTGGCCAATTCAGCAACGTGGCAGGATACAAGATCAGCATACAAAAATCATTGGATTTCTCTACAGTGACAAAGACAATACAGAACTGGAGCTAAGAAAAACAATACCCTTTCACAATAGGTAATTATAAAATTAAATACTTGGGAGTAAATCTAACCAGAAGTACAAAAAATCTATTCAAGGAAAATTACAAAACATTACTACAAGAAACAAAAGAGAAGTAGAAGAATATCCCTTGTTCATGGATAGGAAAACTCAAAATTGTGAAAACAACACTAACAAAGGCAATTTATACATTCAATGCAGTCCCAATACAAATACCAATTCCATTATTCAATGAGATGGAAAAGGAAATTGCCAATTTCATCTAGAATGTAAAGAGGCCCCAAATAATCAAAGCATTCCTTAAAAAGAGAAACAAGGTAGGAGGCATTTCACTCCCTGATTGCAAATTCTCCTACACTGTCGTGGGTGTTAAGACAGCATGGTACTGGTACAATGACAGATACATAGATCAATAGAATAGAATTTAAAATCCAGAAAACAGCCCATCTACCTATGGCAAACTGATTTTAGACAAGGAGATGAAATAGGTTAAGTGGGAAAATGACATCATTTTTAACAAATGGTGCTGGCAATACTGGAAAACTATCTGCAGAAAACTCAAGCAAGATACACACTTCACTCCATGCACAAAACCCAATTCAAAGTGGATTATGAACCTAGGACTAAAACCAAGGACTATAAACATCATTAAAGAAAAGTTTGGAAGAATTCTAGAAGTCCTAATCCACAAAATAAACGGTCTTCCAAGCATCCTGGAAAATCTACAACCAGGACAGGATAGAATAGTTTTTTAATGTTTTTTACCAGCTGACTATCTTTCAGAATCATTGATTCCTTAGAAAGTGAAATATAGTGACTCTATTTTTATCATTCAGAAGAATTTTTTTAAAATATACCAAAGCACCTCCAACCAGGAGAAGATAAAGTAGATGAATGGGATCTTCTAATGATTAAATCCCTATGCACATCCAAAAACTTCTCCAACAGGGTAAAAAGGGAAGCCACAGATCGGGAAAAAATATTTGGTAATGAAATGTCAGACAAGGAACTTATATCTAAAATTTATAAAATACTTGAGCACCACAACAAGATAAAGGTAAATAATTCAATTGAAAAATGGGCACAGGATATGAACAGACACTTCAGCAAAGAAGACATTCAGAGGGCCAACAAGCACATGAAGAAATGTTCAAAATCCCTAGCTCTTAGAAAGATGCAAATCAAAACTACGATGAGATACCTTCTCACCCCAGTAAGAATAGCAAAATTTAACAGAACAGCAAACAACAAATGCTAGCAAGGTTGTGGATAAACTGGAACCCTTACTCCCTGTTGGTGGGAGTGTAAAATGGTGCGACCACTATGGAAAGCAGTATGGCACTTTCTCAAAAAGTTGCAAATAGAAATACCATTTGACCCAGCAATTCCACTCCTAGGAATATATCCTAAAGAAACCATAACCTCCACCCAAGGAGATATATATGCACACCCATGTTTATTGTAGCTTTGTTCACAATAACAAAGAGTTGGAAACAACCCAAGTGCCTACCAACAAACAAATCGATAGAGAAGCTCTGGTATATTCACACAATGGAATACTATGCTGCATTGAAAAACAAGGAACTCATGAAATATTATACAAAATGGGTGACTCTGGAAGACATTATGCCGAGTGAAATATCTCAGTCACAAAAGAACAAATATTGCATAGGGCCACTGTTGTAAAACGGGACTGACTTTGGGGTTGAGGGAGGACTGAGGAAGAAGTGATAAATAATGTATACTACATTGAAACAGAAGAGAGAGAGATCTTTAAAAGGGATATATGAGGGGAGCTCTGGTGGCCTAGCGGCAAGAAGCTGTACTGCAATCCCAAAGGTACACGGTTCGAATCCACCAGATGCTCTGCCAGAGAAGGACGGACAATTTCTTCCTGTACCAGTGAGATCTGATTTGATGGTACATGCACAAAAAATAATAAAATAAAATAAATTTTTTTTAAAAAGGGATATATGGTTAAGTATTATTGTCATGACAGGAGTCCAGAGTGAAGACTGCACAGTGGAGTGGACTTGCAGGAAGGGATTGCATAACAATGTAAGAAGTTTTCTTTTAATTTTCAAAGAGAAGACCAAATTGGGGGGGGGGGTGGAGGTTGGCAGGGAGAAAAGTGTAACAATAAATGAATGGAAACCCTAAGTCTCTGTAAACTTTCATTAAAATAATAAAAAAGAAAACATGACACATTATAAATGAAAACACCTTTCATGCACATTACAAACTTACCTGTTACTTAGTAAGGAACCTAATACCATTAAGCTGTCCTCCATCATAGTGATAATTTCTCCAGACTCCGTTCCTTTGAGAAGGAGCTCTCCTTTTCCTTTAAATGATGCAAAACTCAGGTTCTGGTTGGCCCAGTTCTCAATCACCTGAGTCAGCTTTGCTTCAATATCCTTCTCTTTAATGGCAGATATGCAAATATCCTTTAGAGGAAAACCCAAGAGACACAGCATTTTCAACCACAAATTAAGTGTACCATAAGATCACAAAATGTTTTCACTTGACAAGGACATGTCTTTTTTTAAAAAATTTATTTTTATTGCATTATTTTTTGTGTCCACTGTCAAATCAGATCTGACTGATACAGGAGGAGATTGTTCCTCCTTCTCCAGCAGAGCATCTGGTGGATTCGAACTGTGCACCTCTGAGATTCGAACTGTGCACCTCTGAGATTGCAGTGCAGCTTCTTGCCACTAGGCCACCAGAGCTCACCAAATGTTTTCACTTGAAAAGAATCTAGAAGTCATTCATTTAGTCATTTTGTGACCAAGAAAACTAAGGGTCACATCTCTGTTACAGATCAAAAACTTGATGGTGCTCTACCATTTTTTATATATATTATACAATTTATAACATGAATTAAATAATAGAACTTAAGTAATCATGTTTCTTGACTATGTTATTAATTAGATTTTCTTCTTGTTAAAATAGAAATAACTACCATTTCCTTGTCTATCTCAGAAGCTTGCTATGAGAATCAAATGAGAATATATACTCTGAGGTAAATAGAACTGAGATACAAATGGAGATTCCATATGCTGATGTTCATAGCACCGTTATTCACACTAGCAAGAAAATTAAAGCAGCCAAATGTCCATCAACATACGAATAGATGGAGAAATTTTTGGTACAGTCACATAATGGAATACTATGCAGCACTCAGGAAAAATGATTTTGAAAAATACTATAAACTTTGGGAGAGACTGGAAAGCCTTATTCTGAGTCAATTAACTCAGTCTTACAAACACAAATATTCCATAATACCATTATTGAAAAAAATAGAAGGATTACTAGTAAGAGGCGGCCCAAAGTCCTAATAGGGAAGAGGAGAAAAAAAGGGGAGCTGAAGAGAGTGAATCTAGAGGTTACAGAGTTTGGTCTGAATGAGAGGATGAATGAATTAGAAGATCCAGTGGGGAGTGAAAAGGTGAGGTAAGGATAGGGTGATTGATTTTCTAAAATACATGTATGGGAATGATAATGTGAAATACAATGTGAAAGAACAATTCTCAAAACACAAAGTATTTAAACAAAACATAATGCATACAACTTTTGTATGTGAACCAATGTAAACATTTTTTTTTAAAAAAAGTCCTTTGCATCTGACAGTAGCCTGTAAACATTGCCATAGCCCTGTTTAGAAGTCAGTTAAAAGTTCTTCTTTTGGGGTTTTCTGATATAAAAGTTTCACAAAGCGTTGAATGAATATAAAAATGAGCTTTCCCCCTTATCATGCCTGCCCTTAGAATCCCAGGCTCAAAAAAATGTAACATAACAAAATATTTCCCTAAACAATTATAATAAGTATAAAGTAACTGTGTAATAAATGTTGTAAGAGTAGTGTGAAACAGCTTGAGTTCAGAGCAAAAAAGAAGAAATGGAATTCTGACAGGATCCTGGATAGTGCAAACAGCTCCACTACTTGGCTAAAGGTTGTTGGCTGGCAGCTACTCAGTACACCATGGAGGAAAAGCCCGGAGATAAAGAAAACTCTACTGTGCAAGACTTAGGGTCATCATGAGCTGGGACAAGCTTGACAGTAATGGGGTTTGGGAAATTCCAACAGAGAGTAACTAGGTAAGGCTTAAAAAATTGTTCTTTACAGGATCAACTGACTAGAGGAGATCTTTACTCCAAAGAAAGGTGATCTGACAGAATGTGGAAATTATCAAACAGTATCATTGATACCATACATAGGGTTTTCAGAGGCCTGCCATTTCAGAAGTGGATGGCCAATCCTTCTTCCTAGTCTGTCTTAATCTGAATGTTTAGATTTAGAGTAGTATCTGACAGACAGCAATTTGTGAAGTAGTGAAAGATAAATCCCTCATTTTGGAGTTGACCATTAGTTACAGTGTAGTCCCTGCCCTTAGCCCAGTGCCTTGACCC